GCGTCATCGGTCCATATTCCTTTGATAACGACATTGGGTTAGACCAGGGGTCTCCAAACTTTGAAGCCTTCGGGCCATAATGATTTTATCAGTTTGTTCCATGGGCCAATAGTGAATAGATGAGGCTTCCTATCAAGAATGACTGGGCAATATTCTGGCTATTTATTATTGAAAAAATATTGTTGAGCACTGGCCCGCCCCAACGTACCGCATATGAAGGTGGCGATCCGATGTATCTATCATGACGTCAGTCATCGCTATGGTGATGGAAATTGATGTGAGAGCATTCCAATGGGTTATAGGTATACGCATGGACGTAGACTTAAGAGTAATTCAGGGATCAATGTTAGGGCTCATTTAAATTTTTCCATTAACCAGTGAAATGATGTCAAATAATGCAATTTTTGATACGATAATGATCATCATAGAGAGAGACGACCGATAGAATGTTTAATTTTTAATGCGTCATATCGTTACTACGATCAATCACTTCATTTCAACAGTTCGAGAACACAGGAAAATCTGTTCCACAATCGCGAGAAACCAGATTCCTATCGAATAATGTGAAGTCTGCTAAGTTCTTGGAAGGGGGTAGAATATTTGTTGGCAGTCACACCTATGGAACTACATGGAGGATGAAACCTGACAGATTTCTCAAATTTCATCAAATTTTCTTTTGAAATATCAAGGCTCGTGTAATCTCTACTTCCCTACTAATATTATAAATGCGAATGTAAGTTTGTTACGGTTTCACGCGAAAACTCAAAAACTCAACCAGTCATCATGAAATTTTGTACACATGTTCTTGGAGGTATTAGAAGTAACATAGGATACTTTTTATCAAAAAAAAATGTTTATGTAAGATAAAAAATTGTTTGTCAATAAAATCTCAAAATCTAGCTACTTTAACGTCATCTAGCATTCCTGTAATGAAGTTCCAACCCTTAGTACCGTAATACCGTCGCACTATATTATTCAGTCACGACAATATCCAATTCAATCCAATCCAATCCAATGACTATAGTTTCAGCTGTTTGGGATTGTTCTATATTTATTGTTATTTTCTTCTGTCATTTTTATTTTTAGGTTAGGTGTCATTTTTGTGGTAATAAGGTCTAACAATTGAAATATTTTTTGCTTTTCTGAACCTTTTCAAAGGTACAATATCTTTGATTTCCTTTNTCACTGTTAGAATTCTCAATTCTTTGAATAAAGGTTTGCAAGGGTCGTGCCAATTAGCTTTGGACAGAATGCAACGCTGATTGCAAATCCAATTCCTTGACTACTAATTCAACATCAAAATACTCAAATGATATTTTTTTCCTCAATACTGTAAAATGTTCATCAAATTTTAGCTTACTATCAATGCATAGTCCTAAGCATTCAGTATACAGGGTGTTCATTAAATACGCGGCAAAAATTAAAGGACTGTTCCTTGGACTATTTTAAGAATATTTTGTCCTTTGATGATTTTTGATAGGACGCTTTGTTTTTAAGATACGGAGCGAAAAAGAATTTCGCCAATAACAATTTTGATAATTTTAAAATTATTAACGTAGCCGAAATAAAAGTATAGCGTATCTACCAGTGGACCTACCAAGTAATAAAAAATCTAACAATTTCGTTGATACCTATCAACAAAATTCCGATTACTACAAACGGCTGCAGACATTCAGTTTGAATAGTATGTCTCGTAAGTTATCATTTGTATATATCGAATAGGTTGAAACTGATTGACTTGCATTTTCTGTGTTCAATATTAAAAGTCTTGTTAGTGAAGTGCTCTGTCATGAATGGCTATAGTAACACAGAGATGGCTGAAATGCATTTCATTTATGGACTTGCTGATGGCAATTCATTGAAGGTAGGCGGTTGTACAGTGAACTATTTCCTAATCGTAACGTGCCTAATAGAAAAACCTTCCAAAGTATTACTTTCAATGCTACCTACGCCAATATTGATATCAAGCATATATTTGAAAGTAATCAGATTAGGTAGTTATCAGAATATTACATCATCATTTAGAAATTTTGGATATGTATTCATTAACACTTGTGCGAGCTAAGGATTAACGAGGTCTTGCCTTTTAACGTGTGATTCCTAACACTATAGTTTCAGCTGTTTGGAATTTTTCTATATTTATTGTTATTTTCTTCTGTCATTTTTATTTTTAGGTTAGGTGTCATTTTTGTGGTTAGATGCCACCTTATTATTTCAACATTTGTTGTTGCAATTCAATAAAGCATATTTTAAATTTTCGTAACTTCATCGTATGTAAAAAAATTTAAAAATTGATAATCCCAGCCACGTATTAAAATATAATTCTCATATCGATTAATTTCTATTGTACTAACACTTATTTAATGGCATAAATGCGAGCCAAGCCGCGGGTAAAAGCTAGTTGTATTATATATTTTCAAGATGTACAAGAAAAGAGTTATTTCTTTGTATGACCTTTTTGATGAATGAGTTTTACATGGTCACTTTAGAGAGAGAGAGAGAGAGAGAGAGAGAGAGAGAGAGAATATACTTTACTGTATACATGTTTGAAACATGCTTACAAAGGTTTTTTTTAATATATCAAAATAATACAAGGGCACAAAAATCAGTACTATATACTGTACATTAGAAACACGATGAAGGTAAAGCACGAATCAAAAAAATTATATATACCTTTGTTAAACTGCATAACAAAGTTGTGAATTATGAGTCAAGTTCAAAAATGATACGTACCTTTATCGCAAATATAAATAGTTGAAAATGATCAATACTGAATGAAAGATGAATGGGTACAACTAAGATAGTGACATATTATAATGTTCTTCAAGGTGGTAATATGGTCTAACAATTGAAATATTTTTTGCTTTTCTGAACCTTTTCAAAGGTACAACAATACCTTTGATTTCGTCAGATAAAATATTTTACATCAATAGTGAATGAAAAAAATCTTCGATAATTGATTAGAACTGGCCGATACTTCATGAAAATCGCTAAAGTGAAAATCATACAATAAACTGTATTACTTTTTTTTAAATCTTTGAAATAGAGCGGAAGTAGGTCTCGAAAGGTTGTAATTTTTGTTTTGTCTAGTGAAAAAATGCACTTGGTGGGATCCAAATCTGAAGATATGTTTTTTTTTATTGTGACAGTTCCTAAAATATATATTGCCATCACTGTTAGAATTCTCAATTCTTTGAATAAAGGTTTGCAAGGGTCGTGCCAATTAGCTTTGGACAGAATGCAACACTGATTGCATATCCAATTCCTTGGCTACTAAATACTCAGATATTTTTTTCCTCAATACTGTAAAATGTTCATCAAATTTTAGCTTACTATCTTACTATGCATAGTCCTAAACATTAAGTATACAGGGTGTTCATTAAATACGCGGCAAAAATTAAAGGACTGTTCCTTGGACTATTTTAAGAATATTTCGTCCTTTGATGATTTTTGATAGGACGCTTTGTTTTTAAAATACGAAACGAAAAAGAATTTCGACAATAACAATTTTGTTAATTTTCAAATTATTAACGTAGCCGAAATAAAAGTATAGCGTATCTACCACTGGACCTACCAAGTAATAAAAAATCTAACAATTTCGTTGGTACCTATCAACAAAACTCCGATTTCTACAAACGGCTGCAGACATTCAATTTGAATNAGCCCTGAGGCACACCAGAAGAAGCTATATATGTTCTAGATTTATAACCGTTATAGGAGACGAATTGTTTTCTACATGTCAGATAGGATTGCATCAGCTGACAGGCAGTATTCGATACCATGATCAATTTTATCAAATGCTTTAGAGAAATCCGTGTATATAACATCAACTTGGCCATTGTTATCTAATGCCTCGGAAATAAATTGAGTAATAATGACTAGATTTGTAACAGTAGAAAGCTTAGTAACAAATCCATGTTGATGTTGAGATAGTTGCCGTTGAACAGAAGCATATATGCGATTATATAAAATAATCTCAAACATTTTAGAAAACATACATAAAGTAGATAAAGAACATCGAATTGAAAAGTTAAAAATGATGTTTTTAGCGCGTAGGCGCTTTGTGCCATATTTTGTGTACTTATATCAAGCGCCCGTCGCTTTTTTCACAGTAATACTAGTATTTTTCGTTCGTTATTGTTTTAAGCTTATTTAAAGAAAAACTTTTTAGTTCGATGTTCTTTAAAAGCGTGTTTTTTAGTTTTTTAAACTATATTTATTTCTTTGTTGATTACCATGATACTGTAATATTTCACTGAAAAAAATAATGTTTGTCTTTTGATCACACATACTTTTTTGTTTTTTCTATCAACACAAAATGTGAAACTAAATTTTTCCATACAGGAATACTGACTGTGATTTGTTTTTATTTCTGAAAAACACTTATATTGAATATAGAAAAGAATGTGCGGCATTCAGTTGAAGCGACACTAAGTTTTTTTGTCTTCATTGCAAGAGTAAAAAAACATTCAAAAGAACAAATGATAATATGATACAGAGTTTCTTATACAATAATATTACGTTGTTCCCGTTTGATTGAACATCATTGATCACCTTGCTTGTTGAATGTTCGGAAGTTGGAACAGGGAAGGTTTAAAGATATTAGCAGATGAAATAATAAAGTGTGGAATATTATATTATTTGAACTGAAATATTCAGATGAACCAATCAAAGGTGAAATCAACATTCAACGATATGAGAAGAAATAATCAATGAAATTGATTATAAAAACTCTAATTTGTGAAGAAAATAAATCATTATGACCTACAATCTTTATAGATTTTAGAAAAATTATGAAGTCGAGATATATTCTATTTATAATGAGTATTGCAATCACTCAAAAGCTGCATGAAAAAACCTCCTACATTCATACAAAATCATCATTGATTTGAAAGCAAAAGGATTTGTGAAGATAGGTTTTTGTTATTTGTTTTGTTCGTTTCGTCATAAACTCTTCATTTGTAAGGTGTTAATTTAGGGATGATTTTAGTTGTATCACAGTTTCACCTAAATTATTGAAACTTACCCCAAAATTTCCTTCATTAGATACTTCAGTCTGTACATATATAATTCATAATATTTAGGATTTCTTGCAAGGGATAGTTCGTAATTGAATATACTCTTCTGTATATCTGTAAGAAATATTTTCAAATTAGTCCCAAATATCAATGAAAGTTCAATACGAAATGATTTACAAAAGCAAATAAACAGAGAATTGCACAGAAGCTATTATAAATTTATTTATTTATCTAACGAGCGGCACCCAATATATGAACATATTATTACAAGGGTGTACATAAATACTTATGATTAAGATTAGTATTACCACTAAATCTAAAAAATTAAAACTAAAAAAATAAAAATTAAGAAAAATTAAAACTAAAAACTAAGATTAAATCCAAGGACTGATTATTTGTTAAGTATTAGGTAAATGTGAAGAACACACAACAATATATAAATATATACACGTATGAATCTGAAATATCACAAAGTATTACAAATAGAATGTGTATGAAAAGTAAAGAAAAATTCAGTAGGGTTAAGTTAGATTTATTGAGCCGCCAATTTGGTTTTTCGCATTTTGTCTTTAATCGAGAGCCCCCTGCCTGGTACTGATGATGCCTAACAGGCTGAAACAGCTCTCTACCGGTGGCTCTTGAATTGAAATCAAGTTGTGAATGATCGAAATGGTATCTTTTCATTTTCATGGAATCATTCTCCAGCAGCTTGAGTGCTGGATTCGTTTTTTGATGGCATTGATCAAATCACCAACGCTGACAAAAACTTAGCAAAATCGGTGGGTCCACTTATGTCTCGCTTGCGTTTACACAGTGATTTTTGTGTTGTGTTGTCTTTAGGTAGATCGTTCCACAATGATCTGGAATGTTCTCGAACGTTCTAGACTAGAGTATTCCCGAACATTTCACTACATTCCAGAATGTTCCAGGATGTTCTCAAATGTTGAATGCTCTCGAACATTCTCGATTTTTCTGAACTGTTCCAAAACTTTCCAGAGTACTACACTTCCAGTTCTTATAATGTGACTCTGACAGAAAAAAAGTAGACACATATATTCTGCTAGTGAAAAAACAGAAAAAATTACATATCACATATCAAACTACATTAGAAAAAAGGGAAATCTATTTTTCTCTCCGGTTTTTCAATTCAAACCATTTTGTGTCTCAAATCATGATAAAGTTATCAATATTGCGCTCTCGTGTGGTAGGGATGTTTCGAATTCGAGAGAGAAGTAACTGCCATGATACTCTTGGACTACAGTAAAGCATTCGATGCATTAGACCACAATATTCTGTGTAGGAAAATGTCATTTCTCGGATTTAGTGAAGGGACTGTAAATCTATTGAAAAGTTACCTCAGAAATCGGACTAATTTGAATTGTATTTTCGTGAGTCGACGCACATAATGTTTACCTTTCTGACCATTTGTCTTAATTTCTTCTCCATTGAGAAAAGCTCCCTTTCCTTTAATAGCAGTAAAACATTCTTCTAGAAAGGGGTTGTATACTATGCCCATCATCTGTACTTTATTTATCACAAGCCCTACGCTGACACCTGAAAATTTCATGTTTCTCACAAAATTTGCAGTACCATCTATTGGGTCTATAATCCAGGTGGGAGTGTCCGTTAGTTCTGATATCCCGTTTACTTCAGATTCTTCTTCTCCGATGAATCTGAAAAATTTTTGGCACATAATAGTTATAAAGTACCTATTAGTAGTAATTGAAACAAACATAGACTTTATATATCAATAAATATTGACAATACAAACAATAAACACTACAAACCGAATGCTTTGGAGCACTTTCCAAAGCTATTCAACTAAAATAAAAATAAAAGTAGAGAAAATGATTGAAGTTGGAAAAAAGACGGAAACACTCGATTATAGTTTTGAAAAAACTTTTAAATTCAATCATAATCAATGTTACCAAATCTATTAATGAAATTTCTATTTTTGAACGATTTTGTTTAACTTGCCCTGTTTGGGTCAAATTCAGTAATTAAAGTTTGGCCCCCTTCCTTTTGATAGATTGATCTGATAGTTGGTACACACATTTAGTTTTATGACAATATAATTCAATAAATTCCGTGTCACTGTAAATCCAAGATGGCCGCAGCAACAAAATGGCGCATTACATATATTTTTCACAAATACCTCAATATGGGTATCAAATGAGAGGGTTTGAATAGTAGAATGGTAATACACTTTGAAAAAGATGCAAATTAAAGATGGCCGAGTTATAAAATGGCGTAATACATATTATCTTCTAATACTGAGCTGAACAGAACGAGAAGAATTGAATAACTAAAAACTTGAAAATGAAATAAGTAAAAAACATTTTTTTGTGTTGAACGGTTTTATTGAAAAGAAAAAGATAATAATGATGTGGAAAATGCAGTAAAAGCTGAAAAATAATTCAGAAGGTCCTAGGTAGCGGTCATCACACAACTCGCTTCAGTAGTCTACGGTATTGATCAGACAAAAAAATAATAAAGTCGTTGGGCGCAGTATTTACATATTTACTCAGGCTAAACTACCCCCAACAATTTTATTATTTTTCCATCTGATCAATACCGTAGATTGCTGAGGAGAGTGGTGTACTGTCGTAAGCACCAAACTCTTACGAAGGTTCGAAATAGATGAAATCTAGCAGACCACTGTTACAATATTCACCGTTCAACATATTCTTTTTTCTTTTTTCATTATTCTAGTTTATATAGTATTTTTACGACAAAATTTGCATTTACTTCAAACTAAGTCATTTAGACATAATTCAATTTAATGTCAATTGAATATGAAAACGGTGGATCATTTCTGTGTCAGCTTTTAAAATTTTTGATACATTTATTTTACCCTACCATAAGTAATAAGGATTATTATAACCTCCTTTTTGTAATTACTATCGAATTTTTTCTATGAAAATGTCAAATCTGTAGGTAAATATTCCACATTGCCTTTCCATATCGTGAAAATTGCATTTTACAAAATACACGAACCTCTGGAAACAGTCTAAATGCGGAATAGGTTGAAAAACTTTTATGAAAACCTTCAACAATCTCTTCTCAAAAATACTATACATCTTTTATTTGCTAATCATATAACAACTCCACTGTTATTTCAGGAAATCTTCTACGAATGTAATGTAATTTCAAGAATTTCTTTAAAAAATTAACTTTAGCCAATATTTTGAACTTCTAGATCACCCTTTATACTTTTTGAAGCCGTGAACCTTCTTTTGATTTTCCATTGAATTGTTCAAATAATTTACTTGCATGCTCTTCATCTCATTATACTCGGTAAATGTAACATTGTATGCAAATAAACAACGATAATCAACTGTTCATTCGTTCATTTATGATTCTTGAATGGGGCCAAGGTTACAAATACTTTTTTCTCCCAGCAAGGTCTCTGCAACCTCACTTGAGTTCATTTATTTACTTATACTCACTCTGTGCAACTACAAATTACGTTATTATGGTGAATGTCGGTGAATTTGAAAACTTTGAAGTGAACAAAAATTGTTTTATAGTTAGGATAGCCGTACAAAGGCAACTTTTTAATCTCGGTGATTAAATAATCTAGTCGGTTGAAATGTTTATTCTAGCGTACAATAGCAACTAAATAGTTACTGAGCATCAGCTTAAAATTGGATTTCATCGAGACTGCATGCATTTGTGCTCTTTTTTTAAAAAAGAAAGAAAAAGGATACTGTAAATAGTGGATCCATCCATTGATTAGCACAAAACTTATAGATGTCTTAAATTGATTGACAGCTTGGAAAAAAATCCGATGAAATTATCTCCACATGTGCGAGAACATTTCTGAAAAGTTTTTTTCAAGATTTTCATCTGTTTATTCCTTTATTTTTGTGTCATACAACGAGGGGCTTAAATTAATTGCTTCCACAAACACTATAATGAAAGGTAAAACTATAACCTCTGGCGTGAAATAAACTCAAAACTGAAATACTCTCCTCGACGCGCTTTTCACCGACCAAGTTTGCGTCTTCAGGAGATGAAGAAAATGAATTCCAAACTCTAAATCTGGTCTGGCTGTACAGAGACAGACTTGTCTGACCATCAGTGGTGACATCAGTACTATACTGTCAGCGGCCATGGAGATCCTTCTAGATCTTCCCTCTTCTCCACATTTTTCTGGGCAGAGAGGCTAGATGGACTGCATATAGACTTGTGCACATTGCCAATTGCACAAATCAATTCAATGCAGAGTGCAACAGACTGTTGGTTGACACTAGAAGTCACAGCATTCTGGAAATGACATCTGACTTTATGCCTCCAAGTGTCAACTACAAACTGCTTTATAAAGTACTGTTCTCAAATAGAGAGGACTGGATCCTCCGGGAGAAGGAAATATTGAGAGCAGATATTTGGATCAAAAACATCTTCCGGTTCTGATGTTTTCAGTCGCAGACCCAGGACAGAGATATCAACCTGCCTAGGAATCTATGCGACTGTATTTTAAGCAGAAATGTACGCTATTGAATTGTGTGCGGAGGAAGAATCCAACCTCATACACAAGTCAATAAAAATATTCTCGGACAGTCAAGCGGCGTTGGAAGCTCTTGGCTCCTACCGAGCAATGTCTAAATTCGTAGCAAACTGCCAAAAACGACTCTCCTCGATAGGAAGACTCAACAGATTGTCTCTGGTCTAGATTCCTGGCCATACTGGCCTGGAAGGCAATGAGGCTGCTGACTCCCTTGCAAAGTAGGGTGCTGCAAGCAGCTTCATCGGATCAGAACCTGTCATTGGCATCGCTTTAGGCTTCGCCACACAAACATTAAACACCTGGATGACAAGAAGATTTATGGACTTCTGGGAAGAATCTTCCAGGATTGGCTCACTGCAAGGCGTTGATTCACCCTTCGAAGCTTGATACCAAACAGTTGTTGGACTATAATAGGCATGAACTACGATGTCTAAGAGACCTTCTCACAGGTCACTATCATTTGAATCATCATATACAGAGACTCGGACTGTCGAAAGACAGTGTGTGTCGCCTCTGTTTGGAAAATGATGAAAGAGCAGAGCACATACTTTGTGCCTGCCCTGCTGGGGACCGAATCAGGCGTTTAGAGTTCGGCAGAGCCTTACTCTAACCATCTGACCCGAAAGACCACTCACCATACAAACTAATCATCTTCGTTAAGAAGCTGGGTTTATTTGGTTCAGTGTGAATAGGTGTGAGCCACAATAAACACTTGTTAGTTGCGGTGGAGGGTCGAATAGACCCACTCACTTCGGACCTAACCTAACCTAACCTGGTCTAGCTGAAATTCACAAAAACTCAATCAGGCCCAAATCGAAAGTTGAATATGCTAACCAGTATGGAATATATTTTGTCAACGACATTAATTCCTTCGAACAGTCAGAAAAGGTTAACTAAACTGAGGCCTTAGCTATATTGGAAATCTGTTGTACCAAAAGAAAGATTCTAAAGATGGACATGTATGGACATTACCGTCTCACCATGCCCCATTTTGAAGTAAGAATCACCAACCATTTATGCGGCCATAGCTTCAAACTAGTGCGAAAACAACTTTGGAAGTCATGCCGATAGAACTTTTCTACCAGCAGAGTGAAAAACCCATCCAGAAAATGTTTCAACCGAGCCATCGGTAAACGCTTTCAAATATACCACACATATCAAGTATATCTATTGTGATTTGAATATTACATAAACAGTCAACAATTCTATACTATTTACTTTTACTTGTGATGCACTGTGAGGAACCTTTGGTATAGTAATGAATATTACTGGAGTTTTTATCCCAACACCAAACCGTTATTTTCAACACCTTTACACGTGTTTCGATCACCAAATGATCATTTTCAAGAAGAAGATTGAACTTTAAACTTCCATCTCCCTTTGAGGCACTGTTTGGAACTTTGGTGTAGTAATGAATAATACTGGAGTTTTTGCCCAATACCAAACCGTTATTTTCAACACCTCGACTCGTGTTTCGATCACTTAGTGGTCTTCTCCAAGAGGAAGATCAAACTGATCTTCCTCTTCAGCTTCTGTGTTGCCTTAAATTCTGGGGGATATTTAATGTGTTGTAGTGAATGAGAAGTGCCAAATTCATTGAAATTATTCATTTCTCGCTCTCAGGCTGATACACGCTTGATGATGCAGCCTTCTTAATCGTCATATTCAGGAGATTTTCGTCGTGGAGTTTACAGATCCGGGAGGAAAAAAGGAAGAAAAGGGGAGGAAATATTGAGATTTTCTCTTTCAATTCCCTGTTTACATACCACTCTGTCAAAAAGATTATTCTGAATATTTGAGTATTTGGTGGAATAATGTCATCCCTACTCTCTGTGCTCAGGGCACATAATTCTCGGGTCCAATGATCACCTACCTCATGATTTGAAGAGTAGTCATTAGTTATTGACGCAAGAGCATCCGGAAAAACAACGCCACCGGCACTGTTTTTTCTTTAGAAAAAATAATAGATACTCTAAATCAGCAAATTAAAACTATAAGATGAGGATTGAATGTATCATTTTTTTTATTTATGGGAAAGATTTTTTGTGGTGAAGTAACTAGTGAAAGAAAAATAAATATGATGATCCATTTGAAATAATTAGGTCGGTAATATTTGTTTGCTGAGACACTGGTATGAAGTTTCGGCAATATTGCCATGAATTGATTGTTATCCTTCCTTAGATGCCTATACGAGTACACTGGTGTTGGTTATTTGTATAGGGTCTTCCAACAGGGACTTTTGAACTTTGACGATTGATAAGGGTCATCTTGTTGAAATTACATCTGTCAAATTAGTTGTCATTCATTCAGTCTGTTTTGCCAAACCACCATGGACGGATATAGCATTCAACAACACATGCAAATAGTTAAATTGTTTTATCGAAATGGGTGTCCTGATCGGGCAACGTACCGCGCGCTTAGTCCATTCTACGGTAACCATAATCGTTCTACCTAGAGGACTATTAGCAATGCGGTGGATAAATTTGAGTCCACTTGTTCAGTAAACGACCGACCAACACCTGTACGTCGGCGAAACGCAAAATCTGCCGAAAACATCACCAGTCTGAGACTGTGCAGGACAATCCGAGGCACCCGTACACAATTCAACTGAACTGAAGGTAAACAAACAGACTAACGACATGTGGTCGCTGAAATGGCTTGGGAGCAATTGGCAACTAACCCTAATTTTAATCGAAAAATCTTCTTCAGCGATGAGGTCCATTTCTGAATGGGCACCGGAACAAACAAAATCGTCGAATTTTGTACGATACCAATTCACATGAAATCCAAGAGAGTCCAAGTCACTGTTTGGTGTGGTCCATATTCCTTTGAGAACGACATTGGTCATGCCATCACTGTCAACGGCGAACACTCTGGTCGATAATTACCAACTTCTTTTGGCTAGAGTTGAATGATTTCGATACTAGCGACATATTGTTCCAACAGGACGACGCTACGTTTCACACGGCTCCTGCCATATCAGATATTCTGCACGAACGATTTGAAGTCATGGTCACCTCAACTGGCCACGGTTATCATCCGATTTGACGTTGGATTCTTTTTTGTGATGTTGTGGAATAAGCCATAAACCACAACGATCCTCAGAGCCTACAAAACCCATGCCATCGGTCAAATTCAGCCTGATTTTTGCGACGGAGTCACGGAAAATTGGACGTTTCGGATGTGCTCTACCCAGAGAAACTGTGGCGGACATTTGAGCACCCTTTGTCACATATCAGTGTTGCCTAAGGGTACCATCTTCCGACAACTTCTTGATTATTTTGGTCTTCAAATTTTTCTGAAACAACCGCGCAATGTATCCAACGCCAGTGTATAAGCACCTTGTTCAAAAGCAGATTTTTCTTAAGTTTCGCACAGAAATAACAAAGGGTTTCTATTTACCTACCGCACACTGAATGTTCAGTCACCATTGAATATAATTTTCAAACCAAAACATAAGTCAGCCCTAAAATAGTTGGTTTATGCAACTAACTGAGAATTAAACCTTTCAACTGGATGTAAAACTATAGCTAGGAACAGTGCCCCGTTTATGAACTTGTTTTTGATAAAAAAAAGCCTACACAAGCGACAATTATTCTTCATTTGATATGCTCATTTTAGTTTTGATCTAAACTGTTAGTTATTACGTGAAATCTATTTTCCGGGTTTTTTAGCCCTGGTCTGAAGCCGAACATGTATCGGAACACTAATAATTACGTACTCGATGAAACTCAAAATTACTATCCAAGAGAATATAGAGAGGCAATAGAAAAGCAATAAAACATGGATAATTTCATTGGAAAGAAGAGGCAATGAGCATCAATAAAATCTGACTACCTGTCCTTAAAGTTACACAACCAAGGTCAGGTAATCAAATTAAGAGAAACCAAGCCACGCACACTAATAATCATATTAAACCAGAGTCAAATATCAGCACCGTAGTTAATGCGGATCCCGTCGTAAACAACAACTCGAGCATCAACTCTGGCACTGCGACCGTTACCACATCGCTTTTGATAATGTCTACCGCAGTAGTAGACGAAACGCCAGGCATGAAAACCTGCATACCACAGCCAAAAACTCGAAAAATAGCTTTCACACAGTTACCTCCGGCCGTGGAAGTTTACATTCTTCGATCTTGATTTTGTATTAGTTGAATTTGGCTAACTTTTTAGCCCTAATCAAGTTTCTATAAATGCTGCCCTTGATTTGTTATAGTTATTCTCTCAGTTTTTAGTATTAGGTGTATTTATTAGGTATGTTGAACAAACCGGCTATAAAGTATCTACGGAAATTACCTTCCACTCAAAACATAACTACAAAAAATTTTTTTTATTGTTTTATAAATTTACTCCTACATCTGCTATTCATTTAATTTTTTTTATGTATATTCCATATTTCATCACTTGATATTTTTCAACTCCAATCTTAACTGTTTATGTGACGATTTCCAGAAAAAATAAAGTAATGTATTGTATTGTATCAGAAAATGGTTATTACTCATTCTACCAATCGAATTTAATGAACATCAATTAAATCAAATTTCCCTTATTCTTCTACACTAGTCACCAACTTATTATACTAACTTTTATTTAGTATTGTTACTGTTTTGGAGATTAACTATGTTTTGCGGCATTTGGTCAAAAATTGTTGAGAACCTCCTCCTTTATTTTTAGCAGGAAGTAATTTTTTTCTAAAAAATTGTTTTACAATAAGGTCACAAGATAATAAATTCTCACTGACCATCTGGTGGTTAGATGTAAACAAGCGAAAGTTAAATCTGGCCCCATGATGATCTTCAAACAGTTGTTCAAATACTCAAATGATTTGTTGTCCCCGTAAGGACGGTACTACTATTTTTAGCAAGCAATATTTTCTTACTTGTGTTGTGGCCACTTCTTCTTGATATTCTTTATCAATACATCTTCAATTTTTCTGTCGTACACTGTCACCAGATCATAAACCTCCTGTTTTGTTTCTACTTCATAATCTGCTGCAGTTAGAAGGCTCTGAGATGGATTAGATTTAATAAATGTTCGTTTTTAATGACGAAACTCACCTTTCCTGCTTCTTTCACAAGTGGCAACACAAAATCGAAGTACTCCTCAATTGTTTCACCCATTACGAATGATACCTAGGAAAATCAAGAATGAATCAAAGGTTATTCGTAGACTTTTAAATATATTGTGTGCGGCCTTGACTAATAGCTGATTTACTGTACTTTCAATTATATTCTTGTTAATATAGGGTGATAACGGTTAGCGTTTGTCGACTTCAGGAAAGAACTTAGCTGAAAACAAATGTGTCAACACAAATCGAGAAGTCCATAAGTAGATAGAAGATGAATTCGGAGGTATTCATAAGTTCAATAATATTGAGGGTAAATATTATCGATATAAGTTTTCTGTTTGTCATTCACTTCTAAATATATATTTATATATTTCCTCAATACTAGAATATATTGTAGAAATTTAGGAGAAAGAAGTTTTTGAAAACTATTTGGCGCTCCACTTCTCTATATTGATGCAGTATGCAAGTATCAGCACAAACTACGACAGATCGAGTCATTGGAACTGTCGGGGAAGAACAAAGTTGCTGCAACAAATATGCTTGCCGTTCCAATCTCACTCTACTCTACTCTAGTAGATAGAAGATGAATTCGGAGGTATTCATAAGTTCAGTAATATTGAGGGTAAATATTATCGATATAAGTTTTCTGTTTGTCATTCACTTCTAAATAGATATTTATATATTTCCTCAATACTAGAATATATTGTAGAAATTTAGGAGGGAGAAGTTTTTGAAAACTGTTTGGCTCTCCACTTCTCCATATTGATGCAGTATGCAAGTATCAGCACAAACTGCGACAGATCTATTCATCGGAACTGTCGGGGAAGAACAAAGTTGCTGCAAAAAATATGCTTGCCGTTCCAATCTTACTCTACTCGTTTGGAGTAGTGAACTCGGGCGGAGCTGTATCAACTAGACGTAAAATGATGCATCTCTATAGGAATTAACATCCCAAATCGTTCGTTCCACGGTTGTACTTTCCCCTACAACAGGGAGGCCGTGAACTTTTGAGTTTGGAGTGTCTACATGACAGAATGGTACTGGATATAGCCTGTAAAGTAGTTAGGTGTTCGGATTCCCTTCTCTGCATGGTCCGTAACCGTGATAGAGCAGGAGTTGGAGTATTTCTCTTTAGGGCAGCTGCCTGAGCAGCTAATGAACTCATTATAGTTTTCGACACTGAACGAGGTGACCACAACTCTGTCACCGAGTTGAAACCCGTTCAGCAAAAAGCTCATATAAAAGCCGCAGAGATCACCTCATTTCTGCGGAAACACAAGAATAAAATTTCGAATAACAAATTGAAAGATGTTATGAATACGATTGTGAGCATTATACATTTTATTCGTGCGCGCGAACTTAATCATCGAAAATTCAAAGACCTTCTTGAAGAATTACAAGCTAATTATGGCGATGTTATCTTCCATACGGCCATCAGATGGTTAAGCAAAGGAAAAGTATTAGAACGGAACGAATATCGAAAGAATATTTCACGATGTGTGAAAAATCAAGAACTGTTTTATACTCGTGGAAAACCCTTGGCATGTTGAAAACGAAGATATGGAATTATTCTGCCAGTTTGGATTTTCTAAAACACAGTTGATGAAATCATTGAACTAAAGCACGACACGCAGCTGAAAGCTAATTTCGTTGAACACCGTGAAAAGCAGGAGTATATTGAGTTTTGGAAAAATGCACCTAGCAATTATAAATCTTTACAAGACTGTGCACAATTCGTTTTAACTATATTTTCTTCAACATATCTCTGTGAAGCTTCATTTTTGAAAATGAGCTTATTGGAAAACAAATACCGCAATCGTCTTTCCACTCATTTAGAAGACACAATGAGGATTGCATGTAGTCCAAAAGATGCCGATATACAAGAAATAATTAAAAAAAAGTTCAACACCATAATTCGTAATTATAATGAGATATTTATAATCATAGTGTTGATTGTTTTTTACCTACCTATGTTTAAAAATTTTCTTTTTCCAATAAATATTTTAATGAACAATATTTATGACTAGTTTTTTTCAATATCAACAAAGCTAGTGCAAAATAAATAACGTTATGAACTTCACATTATGTCGCGAGGCTGCCGCGCGACGGATAAAATATCGAGATTTTCTCTTCGAACTCCGCAGACTCTATCCAGACCACTCTGTCAAGATGGTTGTTCTGATTATTGGAGTCCTTGGTGGAATGATGCCCTCTCTACTGTCGAATCTTAAAATCACACCGGCTTGCGGCAGTAACGCAGACATCTTAGCCGGATATATGCAGAAGGCTGTCATTCTTGGCTCACTGCGCTTGCTCAGGGCACATGATTATCGGACTCAATGATCACTTTATCCACGGTGTGGGGAGTGGTCGTTGGTTGATAATGCTGGCGCGCTCTCTTGAATGTATCGGGGCTTCGGAGGATAGGGCCTGACCAGAGCATACCGCGGTAAAAAAAAATAATAATAATGTGGGGAAGAAGAAAAGCAATTGAGTTCGAAATGAATTCATGTTGTAGATCATGCAAAAATATTCTTTCAAACACGATCAAGAAGTTATTTCCAAACAGCTACTTTCGCATGAACATTGAACAACAAGATAACCACTTTTTTGGTGTGAAACATCTATAGCCGCACGTAAAAACTATTGCTGACCTAGCGACAGGTCGCCACGTTATGTGATAGTGTAAGAATTATTCACCCGATGAGGAATATCTTGTCGAGCCGCCACCCGTCAGGGGGAGCTAAGACGTTGAATCATAATTGCGATATGGAAAGGCTTTTGTTTTTGGGATGATTCAATGGAATTTTATTCGGAAGATTATGCATTCAATATGTGTTTCTTCGTGTTCGGGTACAGAAGCCGCTCATGTTTATTCGTTTTATGTGATTCAGTTTATGTGAAAGAGAATAAAAGATGTTATTGAAAGTGCGACCAGTGTTTGTTTCTATCGTCAGAATAGAGATTGTGTCTAACGCTCACAGTGTAAACTCGCGAATTCTGTTGTTCAAACATTGAAAAACAGTGTTGTTTTACGGTGCTTTACGCAAAGAACGAAAAAGACTTCACTAGGATTCTTCTTTTTTCGTTTTGCTGTTCGTGGATAATTGTGGAAATGACTTTCAAAGAGGGAGATTCGACTCAAACACGTTTAGCTGAACTGGTTAGAGCTCTGACGTCACAGCGATCTGGTGAACTGGTAGATTTGCCCAATTTCAGATCTGAAAATAACAAATCCAGCAAATGGGTGAGTCAAGTAGGAGCTATTGAAATCAAAATAGGCTGGTCTGATGTTCAAACATCATCAAGAATTGGTCGATTTTTACTAAACGAGGCAAGATGGTTTGAATGTTGGGACCCTCATAACAGAGACTGGACAACTTTTTGTATTCATTTCATCGAAGCTTTTCCTCCAAAAAAACCTTGTTCGTATGTAAGAAGATACAGGTAAACTCTTAAGTGCTTTCGTATGTATGTACATGAAAAATCAGCAATGTTAAAGAGTGAAATGCTAACTGTCGTACTATTTCTGAGTTATTGGTATTTTTGTCTTCCTTCGTAAAACTTCCTTGCAGCAATGAGGAACAAGAAAAAATTGTGCGAAGGAAAAAATCCAAAACCATCGTATGACAACCGAAGTTTCTCTACCAGTCAACATAAAGTGCCGAGTTTATCACAAAGTTCCAAAACTTGTAGTTTTTGCGCCAATACGGGTCACAATGTTTCAAATTGTTCCACCAAAGCTGCAATTGAGAAACGGCGCAATATTAATCTCTTTACAGCTGTCTAAGAGCCTGTAGGTTCAAAGAAAATCGTTATTGATGGCTACCAGTTCTGGGATTCGATTGATCCTGAAGCCGATTCATCGCTGATTTCTGATGAATTTTTACATTTCTTTGAAAGTAAAGTTACTCCATGTTTCATAATCGTAAAGGGCCTCACGAATGTCACCATTGGAGCTACTAAAAAATTCACAGGTTATACAAACATTTTTTATATTGTTTTTACAGTGAGTTAGTTATGTCTTCATTGCCCATGATTATCTTGATCACGGTATTCTAATTTGGATCAAGATCAAAACCTTATAACCATAACAGATTATAAAGGATATTGTATCATACGTCGCAAGTTACTAGGCATTCATAGAATTTCTGAAGGATTTAGTTCTGAGTTGTCTGAAGGCGATGTTCCTGTCGAGTTCCGCAGTGATCTAAAAGTGATTCTTCGAAATTTCGCCAGTATGATTATAACTGGAAATGAAGTAGGAGCTGTCAGTAATATAAGCCTGAAAATACGCTTAGAGAAAGACATTATTGTCAAGCGTACTCTCTATTGCCTGGCTATCGATGGGAGGGAGGCAGTTCGAGAAATAACAGAAGATTTGTTGAGAAATAACATTATGAGATCAAGTGAATCACCGTTTGCCAGTCCTGTGCTTTCGAACATGCATAGATTTTCGTAAACTCCACCGCTTCACAATTAAAGATCGCTTTTCTCTGCGACTCATCGACGATCAATTGGAAAGACTGGGTAAGGACATTACTTTACATCTTTGGATATGGCTTTCGGTTTCCATCAGATACCGATCGAGAAGGGATTCATTCATAAGAATGCGTTCGTCACGCCGGATGGCCACTTTGTTTATATGAGGATGCCGTTCGGGCTTGCCAATGCACTGGCTCTATTTCAGAGAGCGGTTAACTTTGCCCTCGGTAATCAGAAAGATTCGATTGCCCTAGAATACCTTGGAAGAGAAGTCTCAGGTGAAGGCATAAGAATCAGAAAAATAAAACTTTCCTGATTTGATGAATACAATTTTCCATTGCAATTCAAGCATTGATTTCGCTTTACATATTCTTCTTAAAGTGAAAAAGACGAATCAATCACTCGAGGAATATTTTGTCGAGCCGCCGTCGGTCATGGGAAGCTAAGACGTTCATTGTGATCCAGTTTATGTGAAAAGGCAATAGAAGGTGTTATTCAAAGTGTGACAAGTGTTTGTTTCTATCAATATATTCTCTTCCCACTGGTTAGGCGTTACACTATCTCTTTCGCCACACAGTT